TAAAGTAACTTTAATAATTATGCATAGAAAAATAATTCAAATTATTGATGAAATAATGTCAATAAAATGTAAATTATTATTAATATTAATTACACAGATACACAATGATTGATTACTGACTGTATCAATAGTGATTATGCTAATGATGATGATGATAATAATTGTAAAAATAGTTGAAATAATGATGGTACTGATGACAAAGACTGTGGCAATAATTAATAATTTATGATGATGATGATGATGATGATGATGATGATAATAATAACAATAATAATAATAATAATAATAATAATAACAATAATAATAATAATAATAATAATAATAATAATAATAATAATAATAATAATAATAACAATAATAATAATAATGATAAAGATGATGGTGATGATGATGACAATAATTATAGTACAAACAACAACAGCAACAACAACAATATCAATAATAGTAATAAAAATAATAATGTTATCTTTATTGTTATTATCATTGTTATTGTTATTATTACCATTACCATTATTATTACCACAATCATTATGATTACAGATATTACTATTATTTTTTGTCAATTATAATAAAAATAATAACATTACTGCAACAAAATCAGTATTTCCATTACCAATATCAAACTAATGTAAACCAATATTACTCACAATATCATCACATATCATTTTATTTCTTTTATAAATAATAAAAACATTAACTCAAGTAAAACTAGTAAGGAAAAAAATATATATAATAGTAACATCACCATCAACAGTAATCATCATTATCATCATCATCAGGACCATAATCAAAAGTCTAATAACTAGAGCCACAACCAGAATCACATTCACGCGCAAAAGCACTACATCTCGGACTGGAAAAAACAAAGCTGCAAAAGTCTCTCGCATTGATACAGCATCCACACCGTTACAAGCTTGCCCTTCTGTTCATACTCCTATTGTATCACCGGTTAACATACTTCATACATTACTCACTATGATTGACCATTCGAGTTATGGGGCTTACTCGCCTCATTTCTTCTTTTCACAATGATTTACATATTCTCAGTCTTTACATGTCATTTCCATTACACTTCAGTTCCATCACTCATTTTTGTTCAAATGTTGAAAATGTAATATCTCCCAGTATCAAAATTATTAACTATAAAAGATGATTTTTCATGATAAATTCATAACAATTTACAACACTTTTATTATCTTTTTAATGGTAAGTACAAGTTGGTATTCAATCTGATTCTCATCTATGTGACTTGAACACACATCTATAATATACCATCAGTCTGTTGAAGAATAATCACAAAGAGATTACTATAACTGAGGTGACAGTGTTACCCATAAGATACATATTTCAATATATAACTGGGTAATTAAAGACTAAAATAAATCTAAGACACTTAATGCAGCACTTCCTGAATGCTATTTACTTCAAAATAATTGTTGAACTTAAAATTGTTAACATATAAAAGTTTTTTAACATATATCTGCACCATTAAGTACCAGCATCTCATTGTAAATATTCCAAAATGGCACATCTTTTGAGATAACAGAAACATTTTCATACCAGATTCTCCTCTCTTTGTGTCTTCCCATCTACAGAAGCTTTAATGTTTCATGTTGCCTCAGAGGAAGCTATGGCAACTGGGGGTTTACTGCCTCCTTTGTGAATAAGGAATTCAAGATGGGCTAAAACACGGAACATTTCCTGAGCTCCTTCTTGATACTGAATGTACTGCCGGAGTGTTCCAAGGCTTGCGTCAACTTCTGTCATTGCAGGACCATCTTCCGTTTCTTCTGTTACTTCTGCCTCACTATCTTCTGGGGCTTCTCCCTTTTCTTTTACTGCTTTGATCTTTTCAATCTCTATATCTTCTTCCTCACTATCTGAAGACTCAATATCTGCTCCTGTAACAGCAGCAATGATATCATCATCATCCATTAGATGACAAACTTGTAATTCATCATCAAACATCACAAACTCATCAAAAGTTATTCCATCAGGAATTTTGAAACCTTTTGATTTCAGTTTGTGGATTAGCTCCAGATTTTCTGTTCCTAAATTTGTTTCCGGCATGAGATTCATCCCCCACAATGCATATTTACCAATACCCGATCTCTGAAAACTATTGTTGATTGTTACATCTGTTACTGCATGCCAGGCAGCAGCAAGTAAGTGAAGACACGACAGTAGATTTAATCTCATCTGTGTCTGTTTGGGCTTCTTTTTCTTCTTCAAATTCTCTTCATCCATGTAATTGAGAAGCGATTCTAACACAGCTCTTCTGTAGTTCCTCTTAAGAGAATGAGAAACCCCTAATTTACATGGGCCAATAAAAGTTGTTGGACTGGTAAGGACTCTGACAGCATTCAGTTTAGGTGATTTGGGATGAATGGGGAGATTGGGTAATATCAGCAAAACTTTTCTGTTCTGCTGCACGAACCACGAGTCTAAATCGTGAAGCCAGGCAGTAAAACTCTCTGTCGTCATCCAGGCCTTGGGATTTGCCAGGTACTGTACTGGGAGGCTTTTCACATTCTTGAAGCACTTGGGTTTGGGATGTTTGCCAATGACCAAGAGTGGAAACTTCTCTGTACCTGTCATATTTGTACACATGAGGACAGTCACTCTATGCTTACTTTTACTGCCACCAGCACATCTATCTCCTTTGAAGATTGAGGTTTTGTTGGGCATGACACGGTACAATAGTCCTATTTCGTCGGCATGGAAGACATCATTGGCTTCATATTCCATAAGTGCACTGGGAAGAACCTGACCTGTGAAGTCTCCCTTTAGATCCTCAGAATCTTCCTGATTGTCCTTATCTTTATTAGGTTTACCTCTCCCAAGAACAATATTCTTTCTGTGCTTGAACCTATCTAACCAGCCATGCGTTGCTTTGAACTCCTTATAGCCAAGCTTCACAGCAAAATCTTTTGCTTTCTGGCACAATATAGGTCCAGTAATTGTCACATTCATTTGTAGAGCTTGCTTATACCACTCATACAAAGCCTCTTCCACATCCTCTCTCTGCGCACCACGTAAGCGTTTGCTATCTGGATGAAATTTTCCATTCTTCCAAACCCCAAGAAATTTCTCTGCATGTTTCATAATGAAGCTTAGTGTAGATCGACCTACATTGTATTCCATTGCCAAATCAACTTGCTTTTCTCCTGATTGTATTCTTCGAATAATCTCCACTTTAGTTTCTAATGAAAGAGCACCACGTTTCTCACCAGTATGCGCAATGAGATGTCTTCTGAACTGATACTTTCTCAGAAATCTTAAGTCACACAAACTGCAGACATAATATTTTCTACCATCAATAAGAACTGGTTCTGGAACTTCTGTTATGTTTATCTTTGCTTCCCCATCAGCACTTGTTCCTTCACCTGCATTATCACCCTCAGAAACTGTCTTTTCTTTCTTATCTTTTGTTTCAGCTTCTGTTTTCTTATCTTTCTTTTTCTTTTTCTCCTGAGGTGGTGCCGACATATTACCAGAATTGTCAATGATTAAACCATCTTGCACAAAATTCACAACTGCTTGTGTTACGGCCTGAGTGACAAGACTTGTTGACGTGGAGGCTGGCAGCAGAGATGGCTGCGAAAGGGCAATGCCTGTCCCTGTGGTACTTATGTTCTTTGTATCAGCATACTGAATCCCTCCAGGTATGGTGGTACTGCTGCCAGATACAGTTGTGGTGTACTGCTGGGTCCTGTTTCCTGTGTGGCTGAAATTAGTTCTGTCAACAGTATACTGTGAATTTCTGGAAGATGCATGAGCATGTGCTGGTGTTATAATGTGTTGATGCTGTGTTGTTGCTGTGTGGGTACCACGATTTTGATCATAAACTGTCCTGGGTTGATATTCACTCAACCTCGCAACTGCATACTGCTGTGCACGGGACAAGTCATAAGGATCGGCATACTGAGGTACAATGGAGGGAGCAAGAGTGCTTGGGGGCACACCGCTTGGTAGGTGATGAGATGGAACAGATATGGAGTCTGAAGAATATCCCATAGTTGCTGCAGCTGCAGCTAACCTCTCCAGGTCTGCGCAGGCAGCAGTTGTCAATCTCTGCATATCATCCATTTTGGAGCACCTGAAATGATAAAAAAATATATATAAATTTTGGATGTTCTATAAATTGATGAAAAAAATACAATACTATCATAATTTACGAAAAAGAAAACCACAACAGTTCCTTCACAAAATACAAATTCCTTGCTAAAATGTGTGTAAAGAGACACATGCACATGTGTAAGTGCTGAGGGGTGGGAGGTGGAGGGGGTTCATGCATGGGGGGAGGTACTGGGGTGAATGTGCTTGTGTGTGCGAGATTAAACGTGTTGGTGTTTCTATACTGATTGACATCTTGAGACAAAACTGAAAGCAAGGAATCAGTGATCTGGCCTTAAATCAAGCATTTTATAAACAAAACAAAAAACAAAACAAATCAGCCATCAGGGAACAAAGTCAGAAGGGTTGAAATGATTGAAAAAAAAATATTTTTTTACTGAGGGTTAAACGTTTATTCATTTTGCTTCATCTACAATTTGCTTGACAAAAACAGCAGCACTGTTGATTGAAGATTAAGTATTCATCATCAGTAGCACCAATGTCCACTCCATACTGGAAAGAGAAAGATGACATCAGAAGGAATATGAAAAGACAGCAGCATTGCAACTGACATGAGCACCATTTCAACCCAGAAAGGCCGCAGTCTGCATCTTGGATTCTTAAACTGCACTACATGTACTATTTTGCAGCCTTGCCTTTGCATATCCAAAGACCACAAAAAACTGTACATGTGTCATCCTTTCTTTGCGATCAAGATGCTGACGTGCAACAACTCTATCTGCGTTTAAAAAGTACGCCACTTCCAAAGTACTGCCTCAAGCCCCCTTGACTTTTCCGTAAAGCAACTACCCAACTGACTTTGTTCCGTGAGACTCAATAAGCTTTTCGTCACACTAACCTTCGGATGATTGGGAGTGTCTGCT